GGAAAGAAGCTGCCTCTCCTTTCCAGGACACAGAGAGGCGTCCAAAGGCCATTGTGCTGTGGGGTTCTGGCACCTGGAGTCCTAAAGAGCTCTCTACCCCAGGGGCAGGCACGGGCCCTCTGCTTTCACCTGGAGCTTGGGCATTGTCCCGCTAGTTATGTGCCAGGAAAACAGATCTGGATAGAATCCTGTGAGCCTGCTTCCAAAATCCTGCCCTTTAAAACAAAGCCAAGTGTTCTGAAATTATCCTCACTTATTTTTGAGTTCAACATTAGTAACCACCAGATTCACATTTGTAGGAGAAGCAAGACCTATCCAGCCTTATAGTGGCTTATCTACTGTGAAGACGTGTTCTTATAAAACCAAGAAAAAGCAGTAAATTCAGATTTTTTTTCAATTAATTAATTTATTTATTTATTTATTTTTGTCCTTTTTGAGACCGGCCGCACTATGCTCAGCCAGTGAGTGCTGTGAGCGCACCGGTCATCCCTATATAGGATCCGAACCCGCGGCGGGAGCGCCACTGCGCTCCCAGCGCCGCACTCTCCTGAGTGCGCCGCGGGCTCGGCCCATAAATTCAGATTTTAAAAGATAAGCATCTAAAATAAAGGTGGTCTCTTTGGGGTTGGGAAGTATTTATTCGAAGAGCAGTGTGAGAGAGAAATTTGAGGGCAAATCCTAAATCTTTATAATTTACCTTGCAAATAAATTCCATTGAAGATTTTCTCTGAAAGGCCAAGATTATTGGGTTTCCCAGCAAGTCCAATCGGTGTCCAACAATTTCCCAAACTGTCTGACCAAGTCAGAAAAAAAACAAAAACAATATAACTGAATGCTTTTATTTTTATATAGAGAATCATAACTCTCAGTCCATTTATGATAATGCTTCTGAGGCAGAGGGTTTGGGGATGTCACATAGCCCAGGGTTTGAAGTCTTGGCCCAGGATCCTGGTTCTCCCACTTTATAGCCCTATAAATGTGAGCTGGTAACTTCTCTGAACTCAGGTTCCTCATCAGTAAAATAATGAGTTATTACCTACCTCACCTGGTAGATAGGATTAAAACCCGGGGTGTAGACTAGGCCTTAGGTAAAGGTTAATCCCCAGTCCTTCCTCTGCTTAAAAAGCCTGTTTCTAACACCACCTACTGCTCCAGGGTTAGTGTCTCTATAAGAAAACTGATTGACCAAAGAAACTTTTGTTTGAGACGTAAAAGAGGTGATAACTTGATTATAAAAATCCTAACTATGTGATCATCAGTGCAGTCATTTATTTATCCAGTACCTAGGGGATGTTAGCAAATACATTCAACTGTCCCCACCTCCTGGCCAGGGTGCATGACACCAGAACAAACTGGTTTACTCGCCCATCACTTATTCATTCAGCATTTCACATCCTGCTTGCTTACCAGCCAGGTACTGGGATACAGAGATTAAAAATACGGGACCTGTCCCCAGGGGCTCACAGCCTAGTTTGTGGACAGGACACCAACAGGGCAAGCCCTGACCCAGCTGAGTCCTAAGAGTTTGTGGGGAGGGGTGAGTGGAGTGAAAATGCTAAAGAACGGGGGGTTTATCCAGGTGAAGAGGGCAAGACAGAGGTGCCCAGTGGGAGGAACTGAGGGTGCAAAAACATGGAGGAGGGAGAGAGTGAGGAAGAGGGGGAGACACAGACATCAAGGAGCTACAGGCAGTCACAGGCCTTGTGCCTCCGGGTGTCTCCAGACTAGCAGCAGAGACATCATCACCTGAGAGCATTAGAAATGCGGATCCTCTGGTACCAACCCAGACTTACTGACTCAGAATCTGCATTTAACAAGATCTCAGGAAAATTTGTATGCACATTTGAGTTTGAGAAGCTCTGGTTTAGGGCCAGGCAACAAATTAGGAAGTGTACAGTATTAAGTTGTAGGCAAAGATCAGGTCCCCAAGGGCCTTGAGTGTCATGCTGAAGGCGATAGAGCATCAGTCATCACAGAGGTCTATGCAAGGAAGTAGTGCAATCACATCGGCATTTTGAGAAGCTGACTCTGGCTGTAGCATGGAGAAGGGGCCTGCTGGGAGCGTGGGGACAGCCAGATGCAGCCGAGAGACCAGACAGGCAGCAGCTACAGTGGACGCCGGGAGAAATAAGAAAGACTTGGCTTGGAGCAGGAGCAGAGGAGATAGGGAAGAGAGTGTGGGCTTGAGGGATGCTCAAGGAAGTAAACCTGGCAGAACTTGGTGACTTGGACATAGGAAGAAGGTTAAAGGAGTCAAAGAGAACTCGAGGGTCTGGCCCAGAAAACCAGGCCAGTGGAGGCTGCATTTGCCAGGCTAAGAAAGCTGAGTGGGTCCCATACTGCACGTGTTGTCGTTGAGGTGCAGGCAGGACAGCCAGGTGGAAATGCCAGGGAGCACCTGGGTCCCCAGGTCTGCTGCTCAACAGAGCACTCCCCACTGTTAGTAGGAATCTGAGGCCCTACAGTAAGAGGTGGCTGAAACCGCAGGAGTGGGTCCCTATGAGAGTGAGTGGCATGAGAAGAGGGGTGAGGACAGAACTTGGGAAGATAAGTACGGTTAAGGGGAGAATGGAGGAAGACACTACAGACAGAAATGACCCGAGATGTCGGAACCACTACGGGAGCAACGTGGGAAGGAAGGAATGGGTAATATTTATGTGAATCCTCTGGAGCATGATGCTAAGGACTGAGACCCCCTCCATTGTAGGAAATGGTTTTCAACTGGATCATTACAATGGTGGCATTTTAGAACTTTAACTACGTTTAGTTGCAGCATTTCCCAAACTTCTCTGATGATAAGAATAACCAGGGAGGTACTTCATTAAAATACAAGTTCCCGCTTCCTGTCCCTGACCTGGAGTATCAGGATCTCCCATGAAGGGGCCTGCAAAACTGTGTTTGGAACAAGCACTGCAGATGATCCTTATCACGGAGGTTGTGGCAGCTACCTTGGCCTTGCTTCTCAGACTTTACTGTTCATCAGAAACGCCTGGGGATCTTGATAAGCTCCAGGTTTGATACAGTAGGTTTAGGTGGGCTGAGATTCTGCATCTCTAAGAAGCTCCCAGGTAATGTCCATAGTGCTGGTCTAAGGACCACCTTTGGAGGAGCAAGTCTAGAGAGAACACCAGTCTCATTTTGCAGGTGAGGAAACGGGTTCCGAGGAGGTAAGCAGTTGATTCAAGGTGACACAGCTGGCTTGTGGCTGAGCTGAGATTTGTCAGGCCTGAGGAAGTCACTCTGAATCATGACTTCATCAGGTGCCCATATTCTGCCTCCAGCAAGGTTGGCAGTTTGAGTGAAATGTGAGTGAATAAATCATTCACTTCACTTGGACACCTGTCTTGTCCACCTGCTTTCCCCACTTGGTTCCTCTCCCTTCCCATGATGGCACCAGGATCCCTCTGCTTCTTTCTCTTTTTCCAAGTTTCCCCTCTGCCATGCAAAGGCCTGATTAGGGCATGACCACAACCTCCCACTTGGGGCAGCTGCAGGATCGTGGGGAGAGCGTCACCGAAGTGAGACCCACCATCTGCTGCTGCCAGAACAGCTCAGGTGGTGGGAGATGAGGAAGGACACAGAAACCTAGGGACATTCTCTGGGAACTTATCAGGGAAAGAACTTCCCTACATCTGTCAGGGATGCCAGAGACTATTGGCTGGAAAAAGGTGTGATGGTGACGCCACTCCGCTTGGTTAACTCCTCAGTGGCTCCGAGATCGAAGAGAGGTGCCTCCTGGGCAGGAGCCAGGCCTGCTGTTCCTGACACCTGGAGACCCCACCCCCAAAGAACAATTTTTGAGTTTTGATCCGTTCACAGACTTTTTTACGTCCTTTCCCACCATGAGTGCTGCCTCCTGACTGCTCTTTTTCTTTTGTGCAGGTGACAGCAGCGAGCACCCCCTGTTCTGTGTCGAATACTCCCCTTACTGCTCCGTCTTTGCTTTCCCCCCTGTCCTGCAGCCCGATACCAATTACTGCTGCCTCCTCCTGCCACTGGTGCCACCTGCCTCCCCAGTGGCCCAAGACGCATCCCCTTACCTCCCCCCAGTTACCTCTCCCGCCTTTGCCAGCCGCCCGCCTGCCTCCCCGGGCCCCGGGCCTGAGTCCCCAGCAGGCCTCTGCTACTTCCCCATCTCCTGCCCCACTCCGGCCGAGACCCCTGTGCTGTGCCTGCCTGGGCCCAGAAGGCCCAGTAGAATTTATCTCGTGTGGTAAGTCGCCTTTGGCAAGGCACACAGCGCAGTGGAGCCAGGGAGCAGGGGACTTCAGGCCTCCAGAAGGCAGGTGCACAGGAGCAGGGCCAGAGGGCAGTGTCATGAACAATACCCCGAGGTGTGGTGTGCAGGGAGCAGGAAGACGGGACGGCGCTGCCACTTTACTCGGGCTCTACCTTCTTCTAGCGCTGAAGGAATGAGCGACCAATAAAATCCCATCGGCTCTCGAGACTCATTTGATTTCTTAACTCCTGTGTCTGGCACACTTTGGGAATGTCACCACCAGAAACGGAACAAGCTCTTCTGTGTCTGATCATACCCTTGGCTATGTGAATATGCACGTGCCGAGGCTGCCCTGAGAGGGTGGCACCGGGGGCAGTTCGTGCTGAAAGCACACACTGGGACTGAAAACCCATTCAGAACCACGCTGAGGAGGGACAAATGAAAGGGCTCTGTCAGTGTTTACATTCCCTTTCCTGCCTACTTATTAGGCACTACATTTCCTAAAATCAAAAATCCCACCTCCTGAGTTCCAAAATAAAACATATTTATGGTACATAATTAAGCTTCAATTAAGATCTCCTCTGGGTATGTGAGACAACACACATTTCCAGCACACTCAAATAGGCAAATAGACGCAGGCTATTATTTGTGACTGTACAGAAAGCTGCCTATTACACCAAGACAACATCAACTCTTGCAATTAAACTATAATTCTTTCCATGAGCCAAAAGAAGCCATAAATTTTTCAGAGGCATCTCTTAGATGGAATCTTGGCACCTCCTAGGCACCAGGGGTCCCAGTCAAGGTGGTGTGGGGTAGGGATAAAGGTTCAGGAATTGCATTTTTTCCCCCTTTCTCTTTTCAACTTTGTCTGTGAAGAACTGTGTCTGCATATGGCAAGCAACGTCAGGTGGATGGAATTCATGTGAACAGTTGAATGGACTAGGTTCTCAGTTTTCAGGATCATGTAAAAATATATTTCTACCTTGTTTTTTCTTTTCCTGGCCAAATTAAGCACTGTTCAATCAATAATCACAGTTTCCCAGCAATGTCAAGAGAGCTAAGACAGATGCTTTTTATCTAAACAGCTGTTTACTGTTTTTGCTACTGGGGGTGTCGCCTTGCTCAGATACGGGAAGAGGTAGGGGCTGCATTTTGTCCAAAGCAAACCACAGTCTGCCCCAAATTCACTGATAAACAGGATATTGAGTTAACTAGTGACAAAACTCCTGAACACAAATGCCTCCCTTTTCTGTAAGATGAAGGGCTTGTCCTGCTACCTAAAGAAGAAATTATATTTTACCTTCCAGTGTATATATGACTTAGTCTTCCTGCAGGTTAATATGTACCATGCCATGGTGAGGACCCATCTTGGAAACGCCTCAGAGATCTGAAATTTGGTTCACTTTTCGTGAGGGTGAGATAATTAGGAACTTGGTATACAAGTTGAGTGTTTGAAACTCTTAAATCCATGTACACACAAACTATGCAGTCTAGGTCACCTCTTTTGTGTGACTGTGATGGCAGATGGAGAGGAAAGAATATTTTGCAGGTTTGCTTCTCATAGAATCTAAAGAGTATCACAGGGAAGAAGCCGGCAGTATGGCCAAATTACATTATTATCTTTAAGGTCATGACCACAGATATTTTGCAGGTTTGCTTCTCATAGAATCTAAAGAGTATCACAGGGAAGAAGCCGGCAGTACGGCCAAATTACATTATTATCTTTAAGGTCATGACCACAATGTCTTACTCATCTTTGTGAACCCTCAAATTATTGCACAGCAAAGGCACACAGGTATTTGTTAAACAAATTATAATAAAAAGAGTTACTATTTGCCTTTTGGATTTTGTAAAAGAAGCATTGAGGGAGAAAATCAGCAAGAGCTACACAGAAATGAAGGGTGCTGAAAAAGTAATTCTCATCCTGCAAAGCCTGCATAACAATGAATTTCTGGTCAAATTCAGTTCTTTCGGGAGAGTGTCTTTAGATTTCCCAGTATTAGTAGAATTGTTATTATTACTGTTTATGGTAGAAGAAACAGCTACCATTTTTAGCAACTAGTAGGCACCAAACACTGAGTTAGGGCATTTATGTACATTATTGCTTAACTTTACTACAACTCAGCAAGATAGGAATATTCCCATCCTACAGTTGCAGAGTTAAAAAAGGTCACAGGATTCTGCCTACACGAACAGGAGTGATTTCTTCACTGCCAGGCCTGGTAAAACAATCTCTAGTTATTCAGCTTTATTACTTTAGTTTGCTGAGAACTTGATTAGAGGAGACATGGTAATGGTTTTGGACATCATTTAAGAGATCTGATGCACTGAAGAAAGCAGCTTTTTGAACAAGAAAACAAATAAAATACCTTTTATAAACTTAAGCCATCTTGGGTGTTTTGCACAACAAAAAAAAATTGTTCCAATTTTGAAGTTCTCCACAGTTGGAACTGAATGCATCTTCTCAAGCCCTGCAAATCACACGAGGCAATTATTATTTGTCCTGCATGACAGTGTGAGGAAACATACAGACTTTCTAAAAGATGGTCTTCATCCTTAAGAAGCTGACAGTCTATTGGAGAGAAAAAAAATACACATCGAGCAATTTTAGAATATTTAAGTGCTGCTTAAGACCATAAATAAGCTGAAAGTAAGGGTTCTGGCCAAAGCAGTGTCAGAGCAGACATGGTGGACATAAAATTGGAAACAGACCTTGAAGGACCTGCTGGTGGCATGGGCTGGGGAAGAAAGGCCCTCTGGGAGGGAGGATCTTCCCATTAGGAATGATGGATGTGGATGGAGCAGGGGTGAGGGTCCTGGGGCCGTGGCAGTGTGAAGTTCTGCTGCCTGGGGTGTGGAGGAAATTTGAATGTTCTGCTAGGATTCCTGCTAGGAAGCAAAGTGAAGTCCTTGTAACCAGGACCTTTGGGCCAGGTCCTGACTTTCTGGATGTGGCCTGAGTCCCAATCCTGCCCTTTCCCTGGTGCTTCCTCTATTTGTTCCTCAGTACATAAGAACCCAAAGCTTCCTCCTCTGTCAGTCAGGTGAGAGGCAGGAGGCAGTTGCTGACTTTTGCGAGCCAAAGAGGGACGGGGCCTCAGGATTTGAGGGATGCAGCTTTTGGTGCTGGGACAGTGCCTCCCACCATTTCTTCTGTAGTGGTCTCTCACTGTAAAGCACCTGATTCCTCTCTCTCTCACTGTCCCTCTGTCATTCTCCTCTTGGCCAGTGACATCACACCTAATCACCACCCTACACCCTCCAGTGAGTATATTCTCATTTCACAGAGCTTCCACTCTCGCTTTTCCTTTCTGGACATATCTACAACTTCTCTGGGCTCCACCAACTTGCCTAAGCTGATCTGACAACACCAGCAGCTCCCCTCTTCTAGTAAGTTCTCTGTGGAACATGATCCTCTCTGTCTTGGGGCACAGAACCCACTGCTTTCCCCTCCTAGGGCCTGTCAGAAGTGAGGAGACTTAGTCATTGTATTAAACTAGGCCTCATGGGCTCAAAGAGAGGTTTCAGTCCTTTCCTGAATTTGGATGAAAACGATTCACTCAACCACAGTGCACACCCCGGAACATAAATCCAGTGCACATACTGGAACATAAATCCCATGTGCCAAGAAAGGCTGTGCTCACATACATGTCAGGAACCCTTCCCAGCTTTACCCCTGTGTTGCCTGCTGACTACACCTATGCGTGAAATTTCTAAACTGTCTAAAAAGTCTTGGGGGATTTAGTGCAGATATTCACAACTTAACTGCCTTGGGTACCCCAAAACTTGTAGAGATACATGGAAAATATTGAAACTTTTCCCTCACATTCACACACACTGACACTAAACACATGTGAAGAAGATTCTCGAGATTATTCATACCAATTAGCATCCTAAATCAAAACGCAAATTTAAAAAAAAAGTGTTGGGAACTCAGTCCACAGCAGCACTCCAGCCACTGTCTTCCTGTGAGTGTGTCATCCTAGCACGCAGTAGGCAGGACAGAGGCAAGAAAAAAAGGGGTGTGGTCCCCAGATGCTTGGAACCTTTCTGTAAGACCATGTTTGCTGAGGATATAAATATGCAGGTACAAAATATGTTGTGATTCAAACCTGATGAGCACTTGAGGATCAGGGTCACTGCATGTCCCAACTGTAGAAGGCTCTGGACAGTGTTATCCACAGGCCTGTCCCAACACCTATGAAGTGGAAACTAGAAACTTCTTAGCAAAAGGAAAGACACCTGTGGACGCTGCATTGCAGGTGTTGTGGGTGCTCATTAGTGGTAATAACAGACTTGTGAAGTAGGTATTATTATTTCCACCTAACAGGTGGGAAAACTAAGGCTTTGGGAGGTAAAGTGATTTTCCCAAGCTCACATGGCTACAAGGCAGTGGAACCAGATTTCAAATCCAGCTCCTTTCTGACCTCCTTAGTTTATTCTCTCAACTGCTGTCTCACCCCAAACATACCCTATTGCTGGGCCCTTTGAGCATTCTCTATATGAAAGATGTTTTCCTGTAAAAAATTAATTATTGAAAAGATTTTGCACCTTTCAGCAGCCCAGGCACCAAAGATTTTATTAAGGAAGAGGAGGCCAAACCTGAGGAGATTGCCGGTCAGCCCAGAAACACCCTGCCCAAGAGTGTCTGGGGACAGAAACAGTCAGAAATTGCAGCTGCCAGCAAAGACACAGGCTCTCAGGAGAGCAGGTAAGACCCATGGTCCTCAGAGAGGAAGACTGACTTAGCTGCTACCTGGCAAATTCTTTTTGATTTTTAGATACTCATGCTTTCATGTGAAGGAGAGTGTGCCTTAAAATGAAACACTTAAAAGGTTTTAAAAACAAACTATATGATCTAGGTGTGGGGTTTTGTTTCCCCTCCAAGAGAGGCTGGTGGGAAAGGGGGTGGGGGAGTTTATCTTTTATTTTTCTCTCCTGTTTCTCTATGTGCATGAACGTGCATGGTTTGGAGTGGATTCCAGCTGTGCAGCTTCCGGAGAGGGCATTTGGGTGGTGGGGGGCAGGGGAAGATGAAGCAGTCTGCAGCTCTGGGGATGTTCCATCTGCCCGCAGTTCCCACTCACCTCCCAGAAGGGGACTTTGGATGTCCGTGGCTGACAGACTGTCACCTCCCACAGAGACCCTCTCCCACGGATCCTGGGCAATCATAGCGGCAAGATCTTAAGGTGTAAGAAATAACATCAACATGAAT